CTTCTGATTGTGTGATTGTGTCCTTCAGATTTATTAAAAACACCCAGAGATGTTCTGAGTTTTGCAACAGCTGGAGCTGATTCACACTCCTCAGAGGATGAACCTGAGCTGTACTCAGAGCAAACAGAATAAATATATGCTTGTTTTGGTTCTATGCAGCATTGCTGCAGCTTTAATCAGCAGCAGGAACCAGCAGATAACAGCAGCAGACCTGATAACGCCAGACTCATTCCTGCTTCCTACCTCAACCCAAACCTCCAACTCAACGCTCCACAGGATCCACGGGAATGTAAACACCATTCATCCTGCTGACGCCACGCACCAGCAGCAGGGCACAGAGAGGTTATGCTGGGACCACGAGGAGGAAGAGGAGGTAATGCTGACAGATACACGGGATCTTTCATCATGAGGAGCAATGACCAGTACCAACAGGGCAGGAGAACTCATAAACTTCCAGTCCGCTCAGGTTTAACAAGAATTATTAAAAGGATCAGTTCTTTAAATGTTTCATCTCAAAAACATGAAACAGAATTTTCCCTTGGTCCAGTTTCCAGTTCCACGCGAGCAGTTCTGGTTTTTCTATCAGGAAGAGACAACAAGTTTTCCTTCTGCCCAGCGGGAATGATTCAGATACATAAACTCGACCGGTTTCAAGAACTGGCACGGTGCTGGTTTTGATCACACCAGAGATGTGTGCAGCATGTCACCGTCAGACATTTCAGATGTTCCAACTGAATCCTGATCCAAACTCTCTAATCCACCCAAACAACCAGAACCACAGCGCTGAAGCTGAAGGTTATCAGAAAATCAAGTTTCAAGTTTTAAAGACACAAACCAACTCCTACAGCAGGATGCACCTCCAAACTCTGGACCAGAGAAGAACCACGGTGGGTTAAACTGGACCAGAGAAGAACCACGGTGGGTTAACTGGACCAGAGAAGAACCACGGTGGGTTAACTGGACCAGAGAAGAACCACGGTGGGTTAACTGGACCAGAGAAGAACCACGGTGGGTTAACTGGACCAGAGAAGAACCACGGTGGGTTAACTGGACCAGAGAAGAACCACGGTGGGTTAAACTGGACCAGAGAAGAACCACGGTGGGTTAACTGGACCAGAGAAGAACCACGGTGGGTTAACTGGACCAGAGAAGAACCACGGTGGGTTAAACTGGACCAGAGAAGAACCACGGTGGGTTAAACTGGACCAGAGAAGAACCACGGTGGGTTAACTGGACCAGAGAAGAACCACGGTGGGTTAACTGGACCAGAGAAGAACCACGGTGGGTTAAACTGGACCAGAGAAGAACCACGGTGGGTTAACTGGACCAGAGAAGAACCACGGTGGGTTAACTGGACCAGAGAAGAACCACGGTGGGTTAACTGGACCAGAGAAGAACCACGGTGGGTTAACTGGACCAGAGAAGAACCACGGTGGGTTAAACTGGACCAGAGGGGAATCAGCTTCTGACAGAATGATAAATGAACCTGAGACAAAGGGACAGTTTGTTTTCAGCTGAGATTTCTGGTGAAGCGAGCCGAGCCTGCAGAGCTCTGAGTGCAGGACCGGCGCTGATGGTGACTAATGGACCGAGACGAGTCAACAGGACTTTGATCTGTGGTCTGGGCTGACAGAACTGAGCAGCTGCAGGGCAGAGCACCAGTACAACCCTCATGTCTCCATCAGTCAATCTGCAGAAGAAACAGGAAGCTGTGCAGGTGAAAAGTGAAACTCCAGAACTAAGAGGGTCTACAAACATCTGCAGGACATCTGGATCTGTCAGCTGGAAGAGAAAAATTAAACAACCAGTCAGAGTTTCTGGCTCTTGTAAGAATCAGAAAATGATTCCTAAAGATAAAACAAAAGGAATCTATCCTCGGGTTTGATTCTGAGCATGCTCAGTGGACAGGACGGTGCCAGTAGCACGCTCTGATCAGCTGGAAGCTGACGACCTGCATCTTTGCTCGCTCTGCTGCTACAAGAATCGGGACAACACCGACCCAAAGGTCCTCCCGAGTCCATCTCAGACATCTGTCCCCCTGAACAAACCAGGCTGCTGAGACCCGACACCCAGCTGTCAGCGGTGCGAGTCTGGTGGCGTTGACTTGTTGAACTGCAAACATCAGCAGCTTGTTGAAGACGGACTCCTCCAAGGAACTGAAAACAGACCCGACACGCTGCTGCTAACACCAGCCTGACAGGTCTCCTCACTCTTCAGTAACAACCATTAGTGCTGTTCACTTCTTTTAACATCTGAACATTGATCCAGTTTTACATATTCAGGATTATAATCCTTTTGCTTTGGAACATGAAGGAAATTATTAATATTAAAAACATGTTTGATTTATTCCGTCTGACAAGAAAAATAAGTCAAATAAAGTAAATCAAACCAAATCTGAAATAGAAACCTCAAAATATGGATTCCTGTTTCTTATCCGATAGAGCGACACGAGGAAATCTGTTATCCTACAAAACCATCAGAGTAAATCCGGACGACGGTTCGTCTAATCAACACGCAGGCAGAGCAGCTGAATCCTAAATGAGCTTCTGATGGGATCTGTTTCCCAGACAGGTGTCCCTTCAGCTGGTGTGTTCTCCTGCAGCGGTGGGTAAAGTGAAACTACACACACTACACTACAAGTGAAACCCAAAAAATGAGAATATGGTGCAAAAGGTCATTTATTTTAGTAATCCATCTGACTGAGAGACCATCTAAAGGCTCAGGAATCCTTTGCAGGTGTTTTGGATTCATTAGCTGATTAGGGTGTGACACTTTGAGTCTAGAATATTGAACCTTTTCACAATCATCATCAAGATTATAACAAATAAAAGGTTGAAATTTCTGGCTTTGCATGGTACCTCATATGGTAACTGGCCTGTATTTGTACAGCGCATTCCTCGGGTTCAGCTCTACTCAATTTTATTGCTGTCCTAAAGGGAAATTTGGCTTGCCGTAGTGTACGCAATAAAAGAATTACAGTAAAATGAATACTACAACGGGCTGCACAGTGGCACAGTGGTTAGAGCTGTTGCATTGCAGCAAGAAGTTCCTGGGTTCAAATCCCAGCCTGGGATCTTTCTGCATGTTCTCCCTGTGCATGTGTGGGTTCTCCAGCTTCCTCCCACAGTCCAGAAACATGACTGTTAGGTTCATTGGTCTGTCTAAATTGTCCTTAGGTGTGTGTGTGTGTGTGTGTGTGTGTGTGTGTGTGTGTGTGTGTGTGTGTGTGTGTGTGTGTGTGTGTGTGTGTGTGTGTGTGTGTGTGTGTGTGTGTGTGTGTGTGTGTGTGTGTGTGTGTGTGTGTGTGTGTGTGTGTGTGTGTGTGTGTGTGTGTGTGTGTGTGTGTGTTGGGCTGGCTATCCGTCCAGGGTGTACCCCGCCTGCATGCCCGGAGACAGCTGGAGATAGTACCCAGCCCCCTGCGACCATGCAAGGATAAGCGGGTAAAGAAAATGGACGGATGGATGGATGGATGGACGGATGGATGCTACAACGATAAACCAACAATAGACAAATACAACATCCCAACTCCTTCATTCCTCGCCCACTCTGGAACACGGTTTGAGTTACATGAACCCCATCATGTGATAAGTACAGCTTGGCTATTCCATACAATAAAAACCTTGCCTATAAAGATAATAAAATCCAAATTTGCGATTGTTCAAATTGAGCATTTTGACTGTAAAGACTAAAAAGGATAGCTTGAACCTGTTGCTTCTCATTCTAGGAATCAAATGTCTCCTCCTCGAGGACCCCCAAGATGCTTCACAACACAATCAGTCATCCACACATTCACACGCTGGTGATGATGAGCTACAGTGTAGCTACAGCTGTCCCGGGGCGCACTGACAGAGGCGAGGCTGCTGAGCACTGGCACCACTGGCACCACTGGCACCACCGGTCCCTCCGACCACCACCTGCAGGCAACGGGGGTTAAGTGTCTTGCCCAAGGACACGACACTATCATTCTCTGGTGGGAGCTGGGACTGAACCTACAACCTTCCAATTACTGCTCCACCTCCTGAGCTACTGCTGTCCCTTATATTTCAGTTTAGACTATATCCACGTGTTAATAAAGTCCACAGATAGCCCCTTGCTCAAAAACGAGCTCCTGGGTTTGTTTTGCTGGACTTCCTGTCTGAAGCGTAAACAAGAAACCTCACAGCTCTGCACATCTGTCCACGGGTTCCTCTGACTTCTCCTCGAACAAACCTCCACCTACGGGATTAGCTGTCACACCGCCAAGGAAAAGCTTTAACTAAACCTAAAAATTAAAATCAGTCATGAATCGTCTAGAAAAAAGTTCTAGATTCAGAGGATTCAATTTTACTTCTGAGTTGTTTCTTTCTGTTTGTAGCTCTGATCGTCTGTAGAGCATCAGCAGCTGACGCCTGCAGCTCTCCAACTAAAACATGAAAATCTCATCAAACCCTCCTGTTGTGCAGCCTCCTCCTCCTCCTCCTCCTCCTCCTCATGTTTACGTTTCTGTTTAATGACGTCTCACAGCGTCTGAGTGTGCTTTGATTTAATTTATTCACAAAAGTAGAAAAGTTTAAAATGCTAATTTAATGAGGGACCTGCAGGAAATCCACACTTTTCTGCCTAAATGAAGTTTTAATGAAGAGGGAAAAACACACAAGCAAGAATTTGTTATTTAGATCAGAGAATGTTTTAAATAGCTGAAGGAAACTTTAAATTCTGTAAACACAGAGCAGAGAATCAGGATGACACTGGTAGACCAAATTCCTGTCATGTCAGTGACTTATAGAGTTTAATCTAACGCTTCCCTCCACCGAGCGTGAGAAGAATTCACTGGGCTCTAATCTGGGTCAGCTCTGCGGTGAAGGAGCTAAAAACGTCTTCATTTCTCTGAGAAGCCTTGGCCTCCCATTCGTTTAAACCGATGAAAGGTTCTAGGATCAGCTGGAGGCCGTCGGCGCGGCGTGACACTCAGCTGCACGTTTCCCCTCTTCTCCTCCTAAACTCCCCGGAGCTGACTCGGAGCCAGCTGTTGTCCGAGAGGCGAGTGAATCGAGGGGAGTGATGTCACGCTGCGGGAATGTAAACCCCAAAGCTACACCTTCAGTCCTCCCTGCAGCGCTGCAATCTGACTCCTGGAAAGTTTTGCTGCCGCAGCTGCAGACCTTCGCTCTAAATCACACAGAATAGAGAAGCGAGAACTTTCACACGTGTCTGATCTCAGATCAGTTAGATTCAGTTAGCTGCTACACATCGACTCCATGACTTTTACCCTAACAAAGAGCAGAATTCATGCTGAGGTCCTGTTTTAAATCTACATGGTAAAAAACAGAATCCTCTGTGAAGCTTAGGGACTTTTTTAATCTCCCGAGACCTGAGATTTGTTTGGATTAGTAGGATCTCATAAACAACAATCAGTCACTCAATCGCTTTCTGACCCTGCTAATTCCTGAGTAGGGTCACAGGGAGCTGGTGCCCAACTCCAGCATTCGCCAGGCGAGAGACGAGGGACACCCTGGACAGGTCACCAGAGAGACAATCGCTCAATCTTTAGAAATAAAGACCCAGACAAGGAAAACCAACTCATTTCACTGAAACACCACTGCTGTCTTATTAAGATGCAGCGCAGGGGCGGGCAACTCCAGTCCTCGAGGGCCGGTATCCTCCATCTTTTTGTTATTTCCCAGTTCCGACACAGTTGATTCAGCAGCTCATCAAGCTGCAGAAGCCAGCTAATCTCCAGCTGATTGAAGTGTGTTGAAACAGGGAAAACAGTAAAACATGTGGGATAGTGGCCCTCGAGGACCAGGATGGCCCGCCCCTAATGCAGCGTTTTGGGTCAGAACATCAGTGATGTGCTGGGCCCAAATAAGACCCAAGTGGTGCAGCTCCACCTTCCGTCAGGAGTCAAATCTGATGTCATCAGAAGGGATCTGAAGGGCTTCAAACTCTAAATGTGTTTGCAAAGGCTGGATAACAAAGCAGAACTGGGTCAGAACTCACAAGCTGAACCCGACAGGATCTCGTCATGTCATGTAGAGCATCTTCAGTCATGTGCCCTACGAGCTACAGACGCACAAAAGAGAAAAAACGAGCGCCTGCTGCAGAACGTGTTACATAACGCAGTGAATAAAGAAAACACACACACACACACACACACACACACAGAGGATACAGCCTCCAACTACATTCATTATAGTCATGTTTTTATTTCAGAGCGCTATAAAGTGTTCTGCTGCTGTACTGAGCACAACCACAGGCTTGTTCTGCTCACACAGGAGATGGCGTGTACGTGGGAGAGGAGTGCATGTGGAAGGTGTGCACGTAGAAAACAGGGAGCCTGTGATCAGTTCAGCTGCGGGTCAGCAGACATCCCAAAGGCCGAGCTGATCCAGAACTACTTTATTAGTCAGGAGAACCCAGTTAGGATTAGAGGAGCATCTATTCTGGTTCTGAGCTCTCGTTTACAATTTTTATTTAGCAGTTTTATCCAACTCCAGCTTAGCATGAAGAAATTTTAATTAGTAGAAAATTATTATCTTTTAAAAAATTTTCTGTATCCCAGATTTGAAAACTTGCCCCATTGGAGCCTCGGCAGGTCTACGGCTGGCCTGCACAGTTTTGTGTCTAGCTCGCTGTTGGGCAGGCTTAATGCTAGAGGTGCAACGGAGAAAACTACAAAGATGGCATTAGCTCAGGAATGCAGAATGGCTGAAGGAACGTACAACAACAATGCTGCTACACAGCTTATCTGGTACGTACTGTCTTGTTTTATGGTGTTACACGTGTTGCTTTGTAATGATGGTCTTGTCAGAGGACCACTTCCGAGAGGCCCAGACTTCCCTCTCCCCAGCCACTTGGGCCAGCTCTTCCGGGGGAACCCCAAAGCGTTCCCTGGCCAGGTGAGAGACATAGTCCCTCAAGCGTGTCCTGGGTCTACCTTTAGGTCTCCTCCTGGTTGGATGTGCTCGGAAAACCTCACCAGGGAGGCATCACCATGACAGACCGGTACAACGCCCGCATCCAGGGTCCGAAATAAAATTTTTTACTCACCGGCCAAGTTGGCCGGTAGATGATGAAAATCTACCGGCCAAGCATATTTTTTACCGGCCAAAATTCTAAATGATTTAGATCTACCTAAAGCATGTTATTCTATATTATGTTGATTCCAAACAGAGTGACAAAATAATTAAAACATCAATTAATAAGGAAAACAACTCTTTTGTCATTTTTACTATTTATTTGTTTATTTTTAGAGATGTTTTTATGAACTCTTTCATTGAAATCTAGTCAGACTCCTTGTTTTCTCTGTCCATGAAGTCTGGCCTCCTGCTTCTGACACTGTCTTTGTGCCAAAGCATTACAGCCTCATTTGGGTCCTAGTCCTTGATCTCTGGAGAACACAGCTGCACCATGAGAATATCTGAAAGTGTGTCAGGGCTAGGGTTGTCACGGTAACCGGTGTAGCAGTAAACCCCGGTAAAAAAGTAGACAATAAATAATAACCGTCTTGTTTTTAAAAAAAACTATATTATCTTGGTGGATTAGCGTGGCTGCAGTGTAGGTGCGGTGACCCTTACCAGCCACCGTATCATCTGTTGGAAGTTGCTGGCGGCACATGCGCACTTTGTTGTTTACGACCAAAACTTTCTTTAAGCTAAAGCTGAAATAATGGCAGGAGGAGACGGCAGCACTTGGGACATTTATTATCCCTCAAAGAAGACAAAGTGGGAAGTACGGGCATTTTTTGGATATTTGAAGAATGCCGAGGGCCAGTTGTCTGTGAAAGGCAGCAACGCTACGTGGCCATCATAATGTAGCCATTGTCTCACGACTCCGCCGTCTCCAGTTCGCCACTTTTCACAAAATCTTCTGGTTTCCACTGGTCCTGGTGGTTTTTCTTCCAGTTCAACGAGTTTTCTTTTGGAAGGCTGGCTGACTCCAGCTAAAAATCGCCACATTTCACCGCTAGTTTTAACACGAAGCTAACAGCTAACTTGATAAACTGATTGAATGGGATAGGTGGAAATGACGTTGGATGCGGCGTTCACGTTTCGCGTACGTTTGTGTACGTTGCATGCAGGCGGGAGGAGTATCAGACATCCGTGTTAGATGACTGATAAACATAACTAATTTGGTGCAAATATTTACTCGCCAGGTGGCAGGTAGAGCTAAAAAATTTACTCGCCAAATGGAGCAATTTACTCGCATTTGGCGAGTGGCGAGTGTTAATTTCGGACCCTGCCCGCATCACTGCAGATGCAGCACCAATCCGCCTATCGATCTCACGCTCCAGTTTTCCCTCACTCCTGAACAAGACCCCGAGATACTTAAACTCCTCCACTTGGGGCAGGACCTCATCCCTGACCTGGAGAAGGCATTCTACCCTTTTCCGACTCCAGTAAATATGCTGCTATCTTGACATTTTTGCTGTCCATAGACTATTTTTTGGTTTCTAAATGTATATTTTAGTGTTAGCTGAATTTCTGCAGCGTGTTGAACACAGCACAACCGTTACCACCTCAGTACATGCCCAGTTTGCACACATTACACGTGTTTATTACACTCCCTTTGCTGTTCATTTAAAAATGCATCCAAATTACAGATATTTTCTCTCTCTAGAGGTGACAACTATGCTCTGTGTTAGCTAACTGCTACATGTTATAGTGCGTGAATTCCCAGACTTCTTGAAATTGTGGAACTTTACAGTGTTGTCTGTGAAACAAAGAACACTGATGTAGAGGAACTTGTTGAATTTAAACTAGGCCATTGTTTTTCCAATAGAAAATCTTTCTCAGGATGAATTTAAATAGTAATGTTTGTTGTTTCATATGGTTCCCTGGGCTGCCTCCTTACCGTGGTGGAGGGGTTTGAGTGTCTCAATGATCCTAGGAGCTAGGTTGCCTGAGGCTTTATGCCTCTGGTAGGGTCACCCATGGCAAACAGGTCCGAAATGAGGGATGCCCGAAGACCTCCTATAGGGAATTATATAAATGGAAACCGTGTTTCCTCGCCCGGACGTGGGTCACCGGGGCCTCCCTCTGGAGCCAGGCCTGGAGGTGGGGCACATTGGTGACTACCTGGTGGCCGGGCTTTCACCCATGGAGCCCGGCCGGGCACAGCCAGAAGAGGAAACGTGGGTCCCCCTTCCCATGGGCTCACCACTAGTGGGAGGGGCCAAAGGGGTCGGGTGCAGTGTGTGACGGGTGGTAGTTGAGGGCGGGGACCTTGGCGGTCTGATCCTCGGCTACAGAAGCTGGCTCTTGGCACATGGAACGTCACCTCTCTGGTGGGGAAGGAGCCTGAGTTGGTGTGTGAGGTTGAGAGGTTCCGACTAGATATAGTCGGACTCACCTCAACGCATGGCTCTGGCTCTGGAACCAGTTTCCTTGAGAGGGGTTGGACTTTCTACCACTCTGGAGTTGCTCCCACTGAGAGGCACCGAGCAGGGGTGGGCATACTAGTTGCCCCCAATCTTGGTGCCTGTACGTTGGGGGTTACCCTGGTGAATGAGAGGGTAGCCTCCCTCCGCCTACATGTGGGGGGACAGGTTCTGACTGTGGTCTGTGCTTATGCACCAAACTACAGTTCAGACTACCCACCCTTTTTGGAGACCTTGGAGGGGGTGCTGGAGAGTGCTCCTTCTGGTGACTCCCTCGTTCTGCTGGGGGACTTTAACGCTCACGTGGGCAACGACAGTGAGACCTGGAGAGGTGTGGTTGGGAGGAACGGCCCCCCTGATCTGAATTTGAGTGGTGTTTTTTTATTGGACTTCTGTGCCAGTCATGGATTGTCCATAATGAACACCATGTTCAGACATAAAGGTGTCCATATGGCCCTGTGGGGGGTACTTCAGGAGTATGGGGTACCAGGCCCTCTGATACGGGCTGTTAGGTCCCTGTATGACCGGTGTCAGAGCTTGGTCCGCATTGCCGGCAGTAAGTCGGGCTCGTTCCCAGTGAGAGTTGGACTCTGCCAAGGTTGCCCTTTGTCACTGATTCTGTTCATAACCTTTATGGCCAGGATTTCTAGGTGCAGCCAAGGTGTGGAGGGCATCCGTTTTGGTGGCCTGAGGATCAGGTCTCTGCTTTTTGCAGATGATGTGGTCCTGTTGGCTTCATCAGAACGTGATCTTCAGCTTTCGCTGGAGCGGTTCGCAGCCGAGTGTGAAGCAGCTGGGATGAGAATCAGCTCCTCTAAATCTGAGACCATGGTCTTGATTCGGAAAAGGGTAGAATGCCTTCTCCGGGTCAGGGATGAGGTCCTGCCCCAAGTGGAGGAGTTTAAGTATCTCGGGTCTTGTTCACGAGTGAGGAAAGCTGGAGCGTGAGATCGATAGGCGGATTGGTGCTGCATCTGCAGTGATGCGGGCGTTGTACCGGTCTGTCGTGGTGAAGAGAGAGCTGAGTCAGAAGGCGAAACTCTCGATTTACCGGTCGATCTACGTTCCTACCCTCACCTATGGTCACGAGCTTTGGATAGTGACCGAAAGAACGAGATCACGGATACAAGCGGCCGAAATGAGTTTTCTCCGCAGAGTGGCTGGGCTCACCCTTAGAGATAGGGTGAGATGCTCGGTCATTCGGGAGGGGCTCGGAGTAGACCCGCTGCTCCTCCACATCGAGAGGAGCCAGTTGAGGTGGCTCGGGCATCTGGTCTGGATGCCTCCTGGACGCCTCCCTGGTGAGGTTTTCCGGGCATGTCCAACCGGGAGAAGACCTAAAGGTAGACCCAGGACACGGTGGAGGGACTATGTCTCTCACCTGGCCAGGGAACGCCTTGGGATTCCCCCGGAGGAGCTGGCCCAAGTGGCTGGGGAGAGGGGAGTCTGGGCCTCTCGACTTAGGCTACTGCCCCCGTGACCCGACTCCGGATAAGCGGATGGATGGATGTTTGTTGTTTTATATGGTTAACCCTCTCAGGCTCAAAATAAGTTCAGATAAAAGGACGAACAAATAAGCCCTTCAGAGGTACTTCTGAGTTAAAAAATTTCATGAAGTATGTATACGGAGTAACCAGGTAGGTAGGTTTTAACTGTTGCAAATCTGCAATGCCTGCCTCCAAAGGGTTAAATCTGATTTTTCCCACCCGATTCCGATTTCCTGAAAATCATGTGATGGGACCTGAGTTCTGATCACGTGATCGAATTGAAGCATTCCTACTCCAAATCCGGCCATCTGAAGCTCAACTCTGAAGTACCTCACTTCTAGTTCCTGAAACAGCTGCATCGGGGCTTTTTTTCTTGGAGTACAACTTAGAAGGCATTCATTCCTATATCCCAAAGTGGGAGTGTTTACCCGTAATGCACTACAGCACATTTGGAGACAACCAAACAGCTAATCCCATCTGATTAGCATGGTGGTGGGGGGCTGATGGTTAGGGCTGGTTCTGCACCAGCACAACTCTCTTAGTTCATCATGAACTCCTCTGCAATGTATCCACAGTTACCTTGAAAAAGTACTCTGATTACTGAATAATCCTTTTAAAATGTAAAGTAGTAACTTCACTGATTAGTTGATCATAAAAGCAACTAAAGCCCTTATTAGAAGACACACCATGACAGCAGATCAGCGTAATACTGCCGCCAGCGTGTCTTATGAAAACGCCGTGGTGATGCTAGGATTTTGCAGCATTCGTGCCGCCACGCTTGGCAGTGATATTGCCGCGACGCTGGACTTGTGAATACATATTACGCCTTGGCACAACAGAGGGTGGGGTCATGATTACGTGGGGAGCCCAGAATATTACTCTGGATGCTACCAGGATTTAAACCTGCAACCATCTCACTGCAAGGCAGCAGTGTTATCAACTGTACCACCTTGCAGAGCAGGATTCTTTTCATTGGGTTCAAATCCACCTTAACTACATCTGGGAGTGTCTCCTTTACAATGACCTCCTCTGTTAGTCCATGGCCTCAGGCTGAGTCTGCGTGTCATCCTTGACCATTCGTTATTCTCTCAATCCCACATCAGTAAAGTCACTCAGGCTACATATTCCCATGCCTCCGTCTGTCCCTCTCACCTCACAGAGCTGCTGTTCTTGTTCACACCCTGGTCACATCCTGTACTGACTACTGTTTGGCCTCCCTCACAGATCCCTCCACAGACTACAGAAGAACTCAGCTCCCCGTATCATCTCCAGAACCTCATCCACATTACTCCTGTTTTGTAGCATCTGGATCAGCTCCCTGAAGGATTGTACCGACTTTAAAATCCTCCTCCTTACATCCAAGGCCACCCATAATCTGGCCCTTCCCGTTGCAGAGTCACATCCTACTCCGTTCCCTCCGATCCTCCTCCTCCATCCATTGTTTTCAAAAGAGCTTTCTGTTTAGGAATCTAAGTCTACCTGTTTTCCCTCATTTATATATTAGATGCTTTTATAACATATTTTATATCACTTCCTTTTGTTTCTGTTTTTGCTTGTAAGGTTGAGTGCCTTTAAAGGCACGCATTAACAAAACGCATTTGAATTATTTTGAGAGAAATGTCCTTTTGTGATCTGGTTTCTCCTAAAGGTCGGTTTATTGGTTTTGGTTCCAGTTTCTTCTCAAAACATCCATAAAACCACCACAGCATCTCCTCACTCTCACTGAGCCTCACAAACCAGGCCTTCATCAAAGTCAGGACTGGGTCCCTGACAGCCAGGGGTCCCACAGGCCCCAGAGGGCCCCTTGGTTCCAACACAGGAGCTTTGTTTGGACACTGAGGTCTGACAGTCCATTTTTAAGGTCTCAGTTAAACATTTAGCATGTCAGCAGCAGAGCTGGCAGACAAACACACACTCCCTCAAAGGTTTTAACACTTTACCTCAAACTCATCTCATCAGAAGCTAAACTGGTCCCCCACCACCACCACCTACATCGAGTCCCACCAATAGTCTACAACACCCAGGACAAACAGAACTCTGTTCAGTCCCAAAGCAATGTCCTGCTTCTGGTGTTTCTCAGCATTTTAACCAAACACCAACGTTCAGGGTCTCCCACAGAGCCAGGATCAGAACCAAGAACCCTTCAGAAAAGGGTTCTGCAAAGATCTGTTCCTACAGTCCAGAGTTCTCAGGACTGATCTTCTCTCTTGATTTTCCACTTCCTGTTTCTTTTTTGCCAAACATCTAAAACAGAAACAAAACCAGATCCACCAAAGACCTAAACCAGAACCCAGGAGGACCGTTGGTGGATCAAACTTCTGTTCTCAGATTATAATTAAAACCCTGAGAAACAAACGTGTACAGTGTATCCCTTACATCGGCGTAGCCGTGGCGGCCCGCCACGGCTGAAATCCCAGTGCCACGCCTACAAGATCCCAAGTTTTATTGATTTTTTTATTTTTTGCGCCGTTTCCTGAAGAAGCAGTGGGAACTACTCTGTTGTTGCTTGTGATCACAGCCGGCAGGCAGCAAGGAGGAGGCAGGGCAGGGTGGTTACAGCTAGGGATGAGCCGGATACTCATTTCAAACGAGTATCCGGTACGGATAAAGCATTTTTGACAAATACGAGCATGAAACGAGTAAAACTCGTAAATATTTGTAATCGTGCTGAAGGAAAATCCTCATTGGGTAACTGACTGTCTTCACGCTCTGTGATTGGCCAGTCACATAGAGCGCCCGCCCCTCCCTACACACAAAACTGCAGCTCTGTCCGTCCAGCCCATCTACGCACGCACGCACACACACACACACACACACACACACACAGTAACGGATCTCTCTGTGCTTGCTACACTGTTGCTCACCTTTCTTCAGAACTCCCTAGGTTTTCTTCAGCTCGCCTCTTTTTCAGTTCAATATTTAAAGTTACTTTTTTCGTAACGTACGTACGTCGTGCATTTGACAAGACAGAGCTGAAAACGGCTCGAGCATGCGTCGGTCACTGCCTCCGCTCCGGTCAGGTTTTTTATTTTTTTAATTTTAACTCTCTCTCCGTCTCTCTCTCACATACACACACACACCTTAATCAACATTGTTTTGTTT